TCAAATCCATACTTCCCCAATGCTCCAATTGTAGAATTGCATATGAATACTTGGGCTCTCACCTCCTCCCCGATAGCATGAGGCCGCTGACCCACCCCCTTTCAAGTCGTTGTGTACCTAAGCATCTGCAGTGGGGGAACTCGCATGGGAGGCCAACTTTCGGGTTCCCGATGGTGGGATGAACACCTGCAATGACATTCTCAAAATCCTAAAAGCAGATCAAGCTTCAGGACAGCAGGCATGTATTTTTGTGTTATGCATGTGGATTTGAAGTCGAGGCCACTAAATGTAAGTCCAATTAAGTTTCCTGAAGTGAATAATGCATGCCTTCTGATTTCCAACTGCATATAAGAGATATGCAGCTGATGTGGTACTGTACTTGCTGGTGTTAGAATGGGTAGCTGCTGCCTTGTTCCCTTTGGGGAATGTTGGTCTATACCTGTGGTTCCCAGACCTTTCAGTAACACAGCATACCTCAATTAAATTTCACACGCTTCTTCAGCTGAACTGATTGCTCACACTTACTTGTTTTACTCTGGTTACGGCCTTCCTAGAGGGATTTGCAACATTGTACATACGACAAGCTAAAGAAGGATCAAAAGCATTAATCTTTTTTGGAGATCCACGAGAAAGATATAGCATCTTAACAGCAAGCACAGACACATTTTCAAAGACTCAACTCAACTATTTCTAATGATCCGTGGTACTAAATCTGTTCCATGCTCTGCACTCGGTTCAGAGGTCTCAGTTTCACAGATGCCATTTCGTATTTGCAACAATATCTTTAAAAGTAAATTTTTAAAAAAATAATTGAAGCCAGACATAATTGAAATTCAGTGGATCAGAACAAACCGCAAAGCAGAGTAAATTACAATTTACTGGGTTAGTGGGTGATCTGGACCTGCCAGTAGGCAGGCATACAGCCTTTTTATCTGGGAAGGAATTGATGAGAAGGTCACCCACAAATCTAGCTTCACTGACAGGCATTCCCTTCTGCTGGTTTTTACATATACCAGTGCTGAAAATGCTCATTTGCAAGGTATGGTGCCAGAAACAACAAGAGTACAGCAATTAAAAACCAAACGAACTGCGGATGCTCTAAAACAGGAACAAAAACAAAGTTGCTGGAAAAGCTCAGCAGGTCTGGCAGCATCTGTGAAGGAAAAAAAGAGTTAACGTTTTGGGTCCAGTTCTGAGGAAGGGTCACCGGACCCGAAAC